GTTGTATCTTTCTTCCCCTTCCTAGGGGTATTGGGGTTGGAGCTTGTTTTTTATTTTTGCCCATTTCCTTTGAGTGTATAATCTCGTGGGACTCGTGGGCTCGTAGGTTTCATCAAACGCTCATTCCTTCTTGGTAGCTTGCAGTGTCCGGACCACGTCAGAGCGTACGTGCGTGCTCACATCTCCTTCTGGTCACGCCCCTCTCATAGAAAACGACCTTGATAGATCTTTTTATTCTTCTATGTCCTCCTCCCCTCTACCTGTCTCGTTTGGAGTTCACCAAGGCTCTATTCTCTGTCCCCTTTGTTTTCTCTTCATACTACCTTTCTCAGCAAATGTATTAATTCCTTTGGATTTTGCTGTACACCAGATATATCTATCCTCCCCTGATCTCTCTCCCCCTGTCCTAGAACATGTCAACAGTTGCCTTTGTTCCATCTCTGACTGGATGCCATCCTGCTTTCTGCAACTCCGACTCTCTAAAACTGAGCTTCTTATTTTTCTCCTCATAATACTAACCCTCCTCCTTCGCTCTTCCTGCAGTATCTGATGTCCGAGCCCTTGATGTCGTTGCTCGTTCCTTTACTCTAGAATGTTTCATTTTCGATATCTCTCGAAGAACAAAGATCTCCTTCAAATCAGTTTTGTACCCGGCCTTCCCTGATCGACCTCTCCTATGCCCGGTCGCATGCCTATGTGAATATGAACTTCGTACCGCTACCTTGAGGACTCCAGCAAAATCTGAACTTTATTATCTCCTTCCAAAATCCTCATCTCCTAGTTTCTTCACCCACATTGGCTCGATGGGTTATATGGGTTATGTCGTTAGCCGGTATTGATATGTCTATATTTCTGCCCCATTGGATTCGGGGAGCAATGGCTTCCAAAGCCTCTTCAGTTGGTTGTCGCTTAGACGATATCTTTAAAGTGGCTGATTGGTCTTCAGAGACCACTTTCTGTGATTTTTTTCCCTCCGTGTCTTAATAAAATTAACAGGTTTTACTATTAACATGACGTAAAGTTATACTACCTCACCTCCCAATCCGAGGTTTGATTGGATATGGGTAAGTTGACTTCACGGTAAGTCTTTGAGTATGGTATTATCTAGTTTTCTGTCCACAGTTAAGTTTAGACTTTTCCGAACTAATATCGTTAAATTATTCTTAATGACATGTATAACGTCCTATGCATACATCCAGTTTTATATTTGGATATTACCATATTTCTCCTCTCTATTCCAGCTTGATTTTTACCTCACATCTCTGTTGGCATTCTCTTCTTGTGGATTCCTCGTTTTTGGTTGGATGGTTGTCCTTGTTCAGGATCGCAAGAAAGAGGAAGTAGTTTACTGATGACTGCCTATTATGCTCTAGTGAACTGCACTATTGGTTTCTCTTATGTTTCTATATTTCTAGAACCTACATCAACTTCAATATATACTCTATTCAAATATACATCGAATATATGTACGTATGTTATATATCATTTAGAATTTTGCTCTACCCCAAATTTGTGTTTGTTTTTGCTGTGTTTAAGGTGTGGGTTAAGGGGATCCCGCACGAGAGTGTTTTGAGCACACATTACCATTACCACTGTGGACATCTTGTACTTTTAGCTTGTCTAATTCGGGATAGGGAGGAGCTACCCATTCTTGTGCTGCCATGGCCTATGACCAGGAAAATAAAATTACAATAAGTAGGAATACATTTCCTCTTTGTGTGTGTATATGTGTATGGTATGGTCGGCCCATCCATATCCGATTATCCGGTGGGACCATGGCACTAGGCGGGACTTTCACAGGGCCAGCATTTTGCTGCCCCTGTACCTTTAACAATTCTGCTGTAAGGAAATCGGGCTGCCTGTCCATATATCTATAGTGATTACCACTATAGATATATTTATTGGAGCCTTAGCTAATGAATAGGGGGCCCAGAAATAAAACCTTCCCCCCCACCCCCCAGCAGCAGTAGGTACTTTCCGCTCCTCCAAGACGTGAGAGTGTTGCCGTGGGTTACCATGGCAATGCTCTGCGCAGCATGTCATGGCTATCCAGCAGCCGCGGTCTTGTGGCTTGTGGGAGGAGCAGTCAGTACCTTATACTGCTGGAGGGTAAGATTATATCTCTAGGCCCCCTCTTCACTGTCCTCCGGCTCCACTGACCAACCAGACCATCAGGGAATCAAGTTTCCCTTCTCCTTGCCCACAGGTAAGAGCTAGGGAGGTGAGAATAAAGAAAATTAAAAATGGAAGAAAAAAAAAACTTCTCACATTAAAACACACACTACATGCACTATACAAAATGCATGCACTACACACACTACATGCACTGTACACACAATGCATTCACTACACACACTGCATAAAATATACACACTACATCCACTGCACTACTCAAAGACACCGATGCACTACTCACAGACACTGCATCCACTACACAAACACAGACACTGTATCATCTACACACACTGCATCCACTATACACACACAATTTGTTCACTTCACACACTGCATACAATAGACACAGCATCCGCTACATACACTGTACCAACTACAAAAACACAAACTCTGCATCAACTGCACACACACAATGCATTCAACAGACACTGCATACATGGATGTGGTGTGTTTTGGTGGGTGTGGTTTTGGCGCCAGGTATTGTTTTTTTTGTTTTTTTTTAAATGTATTCTTTAAGTGTAATACTCGTTAAGTGTAATGTGTTTGAGAAGATGATTGACGGGTGATTTAAAATATCAGAGCTTCATGAATCAGACATTTGTTAGATCTAATGCTGTATCTACTCACAACATTTAACAGACAGCTACGTACTGGTTCTAATTTGCGATTAGTTCTATACTTGGCAAGTGATGATGTTTGTCTGTTCATGAACTGTAAAGTTACATTGAGTTCTTTCACATAAGACACCATATCTTCACATAGTGAAAATGATACCTCCCCATTTTATGCGCTAACTCCGTCCTTATCACATTACCCTACCTCGTAATACTTTCTGCAACTCTATATTTGACCTGATGACAGTAATCTCTGAGACTGAACCTTGCCGTCATTAAGTCTTTACAGAATCAATGCTTCTCAACTCATTACAAAGCTGACTCTTTATACGTATATTTTGCCTCTGGAGATGTGATTGATGCTACAGATATACAGTAACAAGACCGTAAATACTTTGGGTGGAAGTTGTCAAGTTAGACAGCTAGTGACAGGCTGATTGTGGGTGCAGCTTGTAGAGGTGACTGGTTAAGGAGTTCCTTGAAAACACCTCAATTATCATTATGATTATTTTTATTTACATAGAGCTAACACCTTCCACAATGAGAAAAATGATGCATACCAGTGAAAGTGAAAAAATACACTATCACGGAATTTCAAATTTAAGGTTAAAGTAGCCGAACTGGATAAATTCTCTGTCAGCTATGTTTTCAGTTTGGCTACTTATGCCTTACATTTTAAATTCACTTTGAATTATCACTTAAGTAAATAAACCTTTAAGTATTCTTGTAGATTTTAAAGCATAGCCACTTGATGCAATGGAATTAACCCACTGAGACTTTGTTCAATTGGTTTTAACTGTGGTAGTGGAGAAAGGGAAAATAAGCTAAATTGAATTCTGAACTGTAATGAATTCTAAAGGGACACTATAGTCACCCAGCCCACTGCAGCTCAATGAAGTGGTCTAAGTGCAGTGTCCCAGTCCCACTCAGTCCTGCAATGTCATTTATTGCATTTTTTGAGAAATGTCAATAATTACCTGGCAGTACTAAGACTGCCTCTATTGGCTGTCAATCAGAAAGCCATTAGAGGCACTTCCTGAATTCTAACTGACTTTTGGTTGCCTAACTGACGCTGGATGTCCTCATGCTTTGCACGAGGACATCGATCATCAGTAAAATCCCCACAGGAAAACACTGAAGCAATGTTTTTCTATAGGGAGGGCCTAATATGTTGGTGGACATTGGAGTAGGCAAATCGCTGACCCAACGCAGAGAGAGATCGGCGCTGGAACCTGTACGTGTTAAAAGGCTTTTTAACCCTCTATGAGCTGGGGGAGGGGACCTGAAAATGCTACAGAGTAAGGAAAACAACTTTGTGTTCCTTGCACTATAGAATCCCTTTAATCTGAATAGTGATATTTAAGTTAGTCAACAGTGTCTATAGCTGAATTGCTGCTTCTGTTTCCCCAAATAAAATCTTTACTTCTGCTTGCTTTATACAGAAAATAAACCAACTTACAATCATTATGTAATTAGCTGTAAAAGTAAACAAAAATGGAGACTTATCCATTTTCAGCAGTGTATATGGACAGGTTTTAGGTAAAAATAAGAATATTAGTGGTACAATCCAGCACGGGAAGGGGATATCAAAGATATCAATATAAAGTATCCTAAAGAAGAACGTTTGTGTAGACTGTAAAGTGGTAACGTTCTAAACCAGGGGTAGGCAACCATTGGCACTCCAGATCTTGTGGACAATCACTTTGTGTTTTTTTTTCAATTTTAGGTATTTACTCCCCACTTCCTTTTCCTTTTTTTTATTAAATTATTGGTATTGCATTGCAGTATTTGTTTCCACAACTCTTACTATTGCTGGATATGACAGAGGAGAGAAAATCAAGCCTCTGGACATTAAAGGACCACTATAGTGCCAAGAAAACAAACTCGTTTTCCTGGCACTATAGTGCCCTGAGGGTGCCCCCACCCTCATGGCCCCCCTCCCGCCGGGCTGAAGGGGAGGAAGGGGTTAAACACTTACTTTTCTCCAGCGCCGGGATCCCTCGGCGCTGGGGACTCTCCTTCCTCTTCTGATGTCATCGGCTGAATGCATGGAAAGAGCCGCGGGCGCATTCAGCCAGTCCATAGGAAAGCATTCTCAATGCTTTCCTGTGGACGCTGGCGTCTTCTCACTGTGAAAATCACAGTGAGAAGCGCGGAAGCGCCTCTAGCGGCTGTCAATGAGACAGCCACTAGAGGCTGGATTAACCCATATGTAAACATAGCAGTTTCTCTGAAACTACCATGTTTACGCAGGCAGAGTTAATCCTAGATGGACCTGGCACCCAGACCATTTCATTGAACTGAAGTGGTCTGGGTGCCTCTAGTGGTCCTTTAAGAAGGCCCCACTGGGTTGGGTATATCCATAAATTTACCTGTTGGACTTTTTAATCTGTTGGGACATTTCTCTGAAAAAACGGTGTTTACTGCAAAAAGCCTGAAGGGACTGATTATACTCACCAGAACAAATGCAATAAGCTGTAGTTGTTCTGGTGACTATAGTGTCCTTTTAACTATACTCTGGTATTATATTTCTGTTATTGTATACAGCAATGAAATGTCCACTTGTGTGAAGCAAAAAGATGTACATAGGAACTGTAACAGACACATGGTACTATAGTGTGAACACAGACTTTCAGCGCGGTTTACACAATGGTACCCTATTCGGAAGCAGTTTTTCGGTGAACAATAGGACCCTTCCTATCAGGAAATACAGAAGTCTCTGAAAGAAGCAGTGTAGTTCAGAAATGTACCCTTGCAAGTCTGTGATTTTGCTTAGTAATAATGCCATTATTTTTCTTTTGAAAAAAAAAGATATGGTGATGTAGCTATAGATGGGTTTTATCCTGGAGTATTTGAGTATTATGAGGTCATCCACAAGGAAGTGATCTCGGGAAGCTGTGTTCATTAACCGTTTTTGACACTAATTGATGGTTTTAGGGTCTACTGGCACTATTTGTTCTTGTAAGGTAACCTGTGGCTGGAGTTTACTTTTAGGAATAAACTGGAGTATCAATGGATGACACATTTCCTCAGAACCATTTCCGACGACATGCACTCCCAATCCATACCCACCTTTTCTATGGTTTGCACCATTTTTGTACTTCCAACAAGGAAGTATCCTTCTTGTGAATGTGTACGAGAGTATTGAGCACATGAAGCTATTTAAAATCCCAACATTTGGGGTTTGATGCCTTTGTGAAGTTCTTTACAACACTTTTAATGGTTTTAGACGTGGCTAGTATGCCTATGTTATTCCCTAAACAGGTCAAATAGTTTTGGTCCCTGAATCAGACTTGTTTACGGTCGACACTGTAACATTCACAGGTACTCCGTCTTTTCCCTTTTATGAGGTAGTTAGTTAGTTAGCCGAGCTATTCTATGGATTAGTAAAATAACTTCCTTTTTCATTTCCTTCTTTGTTACGGCTTAGCTTGCGAGTTAGATTGTATACATATCCTTACATTAAGCAAATACAGTTCACCTGCACAACTCTACAGAGGCCTGATTTTAACTACTGGAACATCCCATAGACCTAGATCACGGTGGATGGACCTACTCATATTGCTCAAACAAAATATATGGGCTTGCAGACATCCTAACATGCAAAAACTAATTTCAGGGTGAACCCCCACCCCCATGCACACAGCCACCAAACATGTATGAACAAGGACATGACATATTATTATGACAGACCACAACTATTTATTTAACAATATAGTGCAACTCTTTACACACGGACGCATGCACACATCTTGTCTCACACAGATATTTACACTGATACACACTGACACAGACACACACTTTGACACACAGATAAATGCATTGGCCCATACACACACACACTCAGATACAAACAGGATACACAGGATCACCTTATATGGACAGGCAACATGGCCCATTCACTGGCACATACACACACTCAGATACACACTGAAACACACACACACACACTGACACGATACACAGATATACACACAAACACAATCTGACATATACAAACACACTGAAACTCATACAGAGATAAATACACACAGTTACACACTAGATACAATCTTACCTAGATACACTGTTACTTGTTTGTGGTCCTAGTTATGGTGGCTGAGGCTGATGGGAGTAAGCATGCAACAGCTCACTCCAGCCTCTTCTCTGCCTCCATGCTGTGTGAGCTATCTCCTCTAACCTCCTCCTTTCCCACTCAATTCCTCCCGCAGGGCGCTCTGTAAAGCTGGGAGGAAATGATTGGCTGTCACTTCCTCTCAGCCAGTGGATACTACTCTTAAAGGCTGAGGCACCCAACCTAGCCCCTGTTTAGTGAGTATTATCGGGTGGCTGCAAATTATATACAATATCCAGGAAATCACACGCACACATTTTATGTCAGATCGTGATTTCAGGGATATTGTATATGTTTTGCAGGTATCATGGAGCCATATTAAAAATGCTTGAGTCTCACAGAACTTCCGGGAGACTTGGGATGTCTGGGCTTGACATAAGATGCTGGAGACACAAACTGTAAATCATATATCCATGTAGCTTCTATCAGTATGACAACAATGGCAACACGAAGGGGCATTCAGATATTTGAAACTATCCATGGCTAAGTGATTTTCTTTCAAGACACTGCTTTGACCAGTGTCTTATCTCAACTCGCAACTCTTTGCAAACATTTCCACTTTATACATAATCATCAAAGTTGGCCAAAGATAATATACTTTCCAAGGAGATATCCTGGTGGACCTGTCTTGAGAGGAAGAGCATCAAATTTGTAAGCCACATGTCAAGCACAAACCAAAACAGGGCCCAGATAGCATATGCACTGCACAGTTCCTACCTGGTACATATCTTTTTTTTTTTTTTTATGAACGGGTGACCACTCTAAGCCAATCAGCAGCGTCGTTGCCTGGTGGACCTCTGCGTTTCCTGAAACTGCATTGAAGAAACCGGATGTCGCTGGAGAAACCTGAATTGCGCAAGTGCAGTGAACATAATCAAACTGTTACTATAGCTGAATTAGAGAATGAAAGTGAATAAACTCCTGTGTGTAAAATAAATTAATGTATTTATAATTATCATGGTTATTTACTAAACTCCTAATTGTACTTAAAGGGAAACTCATGTTTCCCAGACCACTTCATGGAGATTAAGTGGTCTGGGTGCAGTGGCAATGCCCATTTAGCCCTGAAATGTAATGCATTGCAGTTTTTTTTAGAAACGACAATGCTTACATTGCAAGGTTAAATCCACCTCTAGTGGCTGTCTTCCTGACAGCTTCAATAGGCGATTCCGTGGCAGTGATTGAGCAAAACTTTGTTAGGTAATGCAGACGTTCATAGGAAAGCATTGATTACAATGCTTTCCTATAGGGGAGCTTGGAAGTGCGCACATGCACATCAGTTCCACAATGCTTCTCTATAAGGAGCATTTGATTGGTCCATCATGGAGGAGGCCATTCCTCCAAGCAAGTGAGCAGTGCTGAGGTAGCCAAAGAGCTGGGAAAACTTAAGTTAAACTTTTTTTTTATTTTGGTCATTTTAATGCAATATGGAATCTAGCCTATAAAGCCTCACATCATCATTTGTACTCTAATTATGATTACCTGCCCAAAGAGGAACAAACATCTCAGCAAGAAGCCTCTAGTCACTAATGTAATGCCTGTAAAATTGCTTAAAATGTAAACTCACCCCTTGCTTTCAAACATTACAGGAAGTTCCAATGGGTAATATGACTCCCACAGTCAAGGAGGGGGGGGAGGTTGGACTCTACCATTTCTCTGTCATTATTACATTAGCAGTACAGAGACTGATAATGATTGATACAGCAGTTTTAAATGTAATTTTAGAAATATATGATTTAACTGTATTTGCTGCATGTGGACATTCTTTTTACATTCTGTTGCTATTTTCAGTAAGCCGTACTGATAGTAATGCAAATACCTATAAGCAAGTCACTTGATTTATTTTTTACTGAATGTGTAAAAATTTAATTTTCTGCTTGTATGCTAATATTTCAGACCCTGTGTGAAATATTGCAAGATAAAGTACACCGTGTACTGTCTAAAAGCTGTTAAGTTCCCAATTATTTTTATACAGTATGAAAAAATATGTGAAAAATAAAATTGTGTACATTTACATAATTTTAATATTTAAAGGACCACTATAGTGCCAGGAAAACATACTCGTTTTCCTGGCACTATAGTGCCCTGAGGGTGCCCCCACCCTCAGGGTCCCCCTCCCGCCCGGCTCTGGAGAGAGGAAAAGGGGTTAAACTTACCTTTTTCCAGCGCTGGGCGGAGAGCTCTCCTCCTCCGATCCTCCCCTCCGCTGAATGCGCACGCCGCGAGCTGCGGCGATTCAGCTAAGGAAAGCATTCATAATGCTTTCCTATGGACGCTGGCGTGCTCTCACTGTGAAAATCACAGTGAGAAGCACGCAAGCGCTTCTAGTGGCTGTCAATGAGACAGCCACTAGAGGATTAGGGGGAAGGCTTAACCCATTCATAAACATAGCAGTTTCTCTGAAACTGCTATGTTTATTAAAAAATGGGTTAACCCTAGAAGGACCTGGCACCCAGACCACTTCATTAAGCTGAAGTGGTCTGGGTGCCTAGAGTGGTCCTTTAAGTTTACTCTACACACAGTTGCTGCAGGATGATATGTGTATATGCTAGCTATGCATTCATTGATTCAAATACATTTTATGCCAACACTTTTTTCAAATACATTTTATGCTAATCTTCATCAATCAAAAAGGGCTCGGCAGAGAAGGGGTTAAACTCTATCCATAGCATTATACTCTATCCTTCTAGATCAGTGGTTTCCAACCCAGTCCTCAAGTACCCCCTACCAGACCAGGAGTGTACCACCTACCAGTTAAGGTGTTTTTAGAAAAGAAAAAAAAAAAACACTTTAGACACAACAGGGTAATCACTAAATCCTGGACTGGTAGGAGGTACTTGAGGACTGGGTTGAGAGCCCCTGTTCTAGATTGTAAGCTCTTTAAGCAGGGTCGCCTACTTTCACCTTCTCCTCCTCTTGTCTCTGTTAATATTTTGTTTGTATGTCCATTATCCCATTCTATAATTGTTAAGCACTGCAGAATATGCTGGTGCTATATATAAATAATAATCCAGAATTCAGTGGTTTGAGGTAGGGATGCAATGAAACGAAAAAAAATTTGATTTTTTAATTTTTTTTTAGTGCATAGTTTAACAGACATGCTTGTATTAAAGGACCACTGTAGTGCATTAAAGGACCACTGTGAAAATCACAGTGAGAAGCGCGGAAGCGCCTCTAGCGGCTGTCAATGAGACAGCCACTAGAGGCTGGATTAACCCTAAAGTAAACATAGCAGTTTCTCTGAAACTGCTATGTTTACAGCAGGCATGGTTAATCCTCGAGGGACCTGGCACCCAGACCACTTCATTAAACTGAAGTGATCTGGGTGCCTATAGTGGTCCTTTAACAATTCAGATGATTATATATCACAATGAAAGATAGTAATGATAACATGAAAAGTTAAGAATACTGCACTTGGGACAGAGGGGGGGGAGAACACTATGGGACGGGGAGGGGAAGAAAGAACGCTATAGGACAATGGAGGAGGGGAAGAACACTATGGGACAGGGGAGGGGGAGAAAGAACACTATGGCACAGGGGAGGGGGAGAAAGAACACTATGGGACAGGGGAGGGAGAACACTATGGGACGGGGAGGGGGAAAGAAAACTATGGGACAGGGGGGAAAGAACACTATGGAACAGGGGAGACACTATGGGAAGGGGGAAAGGACACTATGGGACAGGGAGGGGGGAAAGGACACTATGGGACAGGGAGGGGGGAAAGGACACTATGGGACAGGGAGGGGGGAAAGGACACTATGGGACAGGGAGGGGGGAAAGGACACTATGGGACAGGGAGGGGAAAAAAAAAAAACACCATGGGACAGGGGAGGGGGAAAAAAAACAACATGGGACAGGGGAGGGGGGTCACTATAGGACTGGGGAGGAGGGAGGAAAGAACACTATGGGACTGGAGAGGAAGAGAGGAACATTAAGTGGGGGGGGCACTAAAAGGGAAGGGAGAAGGGAAGTTTTTCATATTAGATTAATTAAATTCATTAAAAAGTCTAATATTGATAAAATTTTAGGAAAAAAACTTTTACAATCATTTGGGGGAAAAAAGTCATTTTCGGTTTCGGTTTTTGGCCAAGGGCATCCTGAATTTTCGGTTTCGGCCCAGAATTTTCATTTCGGTGCATCCCTAGTTCTCTGCATACCAGTTAAAGGGATACTATAAGTGCCAGTAATACAAAGCTGTATTCCTGGCACTATAGCTCACTCTGACTTCCCCCTTGCATCCCTCCCGCCCGGGTAAATAAAGGGTTAAAAACCCCTTAATTTACTTACCTTTTCCCAGTGTCTATGTCCCTCGCCGCTGGTGTAGCCAGGACTTTTATGCTACTAAAATGTAAGTTAGAACAAGTACAATGTATCTTATTTACACAGATTCATTTCTAAACACATTTATTGTAGTTTAACCCCTTAAGGACACATGACATGTGTGACATGTCATGATTCCCTTTTATTCCTTAAGAGGTTAAAGAAACAATATTGTGAGTATTAATTCCATGGAGATCTGTTATACACTCAGACACACCAACAATATGGAATTCCAAGAAAAGAGGGATTTGGAGCCAAACTAGGGACTGTCCCTCCCAAATAGGGACACTTGGGAGTTATGACTGTTTTGTAAATTAAGTTAAGCAGAGGTATGAGTTAATAGAGAAGTACCACAATGAGCATAAGTACCATAAATGTATTTAGATGAATAACTTGATACCTGTATATGACCTTCTCTACTGCCTCTTAGAAAGACACCTGTTTAAAGCTGCGCCTTGTGTTTGTATTGTTATTGACACCCTATTAAAGTTTTGTTTAAAAAAAAAAAAACTGAGGGTCAGCAGGTTTCAGACGAGAGGGCGTGTACAGTAAGGTGGCTGGCAGCGGCACTCGCCGTGTCGTCCAATCACAACTGGCAGCGGCCTCGATTGACGTGCAGACTGTCCAATAGCAGCGTGGAGCGGCTACGGCAGGCGAGCTTCCTTCCCTCTGGCAATAAGGAGTAAGGCGCCGGGCGGATGGGTGCGGGCAGCGGATACTGGAGACAGTGGGGGAGATGCTGCGGGTCAGCTTCCTATCGTACTGGCTTTCAATGAGCCTCTCCTGGCGAGGGACAGCCTGAGCACCTGAGGTGGGCCGGCAGGGGGAGTGGTCGCTCGGGGGCCGTGCTTGGACAGGTCCGGGCCCGTTTACCCCAGCTCTGCCAGTCTGGGGGTCCCAGGGTGTCCTGACATTGCAGGAACTGGCATCGCTGCCCTCTGGGCAATGGACTCTCCCCTGGCTCTGAAGGGACCTGTGTATTCTGGTTCTGGTGCTACTGGACTCTGACTGGACCCAGTTCTGCTGCCATTCTAGTTCCCCGGAAACTACTTCATATTCCTTCATTCATCAACCTCCTCTGCTACTTCATATTCCTTCATTCATCAACCTCCTCTGCTACTTCATATTCCTTCATTCATCAACCTCCTCTGCTACTTCATATTCCTTCATTCATCAACCTCCTCTGCTACTTCATATTCCTTCATTCATCAACCTCCTCTGCTACTTCATTTTCCTTCATTCACCAACCTCCTCTGCTACTTCATATTCCACCATTCATCAACCTCCTCTGCTACTTCATATTCCTCCATTCAGCAACCTCCTCTGCTACTTCATATTCCTCCATTCATCAACCTCCTCTGCTACTTCATATTCCACCATTCATCAACCTCCTCTGCTACTTCATATTCCACCATTCATCAACCTCCTCTGCTACTTCATATTCCTCCATTCAGCAACCTCCTCTGCTACTTCATATTCCTCCATTCATCAACCTCTGCTACTTCATATTGCTTCATTCATCAACCTCCTCTGCTACTTCATATTCCTCCATTCATCAACCTCTGCTACTTCATATTGCTTCATTCATCAACCTCCTCTGCTACTTCATATTCCTACTTCATTCAGCAACCTCCTCTGCTACTTCATATTCCTCCATTCAGCAACCTCCTCTGCTACTTCATATTCCTTAATTCATCAACCTCCTCTGCTACTTCACATTCCTCCATTCATCAACCTCCTCTGCTACTTCACATTCCTCCATTCATCAACCTCCTCTGCTACTTCACATTCCTCCATTCATCAACCTCCTCTGCTACTTCATATTGCTTCATTCATCAACCTCCTCTGCTACTTCATATTCCTCCATTCATCAACCTCCTCTGCTACTTCACATTCCTCCATTCACCAACCTCCTCTGCTACTTCATATTCCTCCATTCACCAACCTCCTCTGCTACTTCATATTCCTCCATTCATCAACCTCCTCTGCTACTTCATATTCCTCCATTCAGCAACCTCCTCTGCTACTTCATATTCCTCCATTCAGCAACCTCCTCTGCTACTTCATATTCCTCCATTCAGCAACCTCCTCTGCTACTTCATATTCCTCCATTCAGCAACCTCCTCTGCTGCATCATATTCCTCCATAAAGTAACCTCTGCTATTTGCTATTATCACTCCACAGATGCTACTTTACATTCCTCCATTCAGCAACCTCTGCTGCTGGCTTCTGCTCATTTAGTTCTACGGCTGCTACTTCATATCTTTCTGCTGTTCTAGTACCCTGGATGCTACTTCTTGTATTTCTCCATTCAGCAACCTCTGCATCTGGTATCTAATGTGAGACTCTTATAAAATAGTTGGGAGACATTCTACATTCTAGATTGCTCATCTTATTAAAGCCCCAGTGTTTACCTTCTGTCTTTATGTTTAAGGAATCAATAACTACTCCCCTCCCCCCAGGATTTAGCAAATTCTTCTTAATGTAATTGTGGAAAGCTGAGGTTATGGTATGATACCCTGCTTTAGTTTGCTCCTGATATACCCCCTTATGGTGACATCAATGAACTTGTAGGTGTTTAGTTGTATTCCATTATCCTTGAATTGTCTGATACTGCTGGATTTGCTCTCATCTTGTAAAGCTAAAACTTTTAGGCTTTTGGTTGGTCTGTAGAGGTGACTCAGTCATGTACACTGTGGTTTTCTTACCATATACAGTTACACACATTTGTAGGTGACTTCTTGGATTTGTGTGTGGACTTCTGCTCCCTTAAACTGTAAGTGCATGAGTAAAAGGCACCATACCCCAAGCCTCACCTATGGATCAGTTCAATGGAGCCCCTCAGATCCCTGCTCTCCTTGCCTGGCAGTAGCAAATCTTCATTTGGGATACCTAGAGGAGCACCAAATGCGTCAATATTACCAGTACCACTGGTTACAGAGGAAGATGAAGAGCAAGAGGACAGAGAGAGCACTCCCACTAGACAGGTTTTTTTGGATGAAGACTATGAAGCTGGAGGAGGAGGGGCCAATGATGTCCCCGGAGTCATTGGAAGCCAACCTTCATCCTCCCCATCTAACCCATTCTATTGGACTGCTGTATTTGACTATGAGGCCTCTGCAGAAGATGAGCTGACCCTAAGGTTAGGCGATCTGGTCCAGGTGCTCTCCAAGGACTCTCGAGTGTCTGGGGATGAAGGCTGGTGGACAGGAAAGATTCAAGACCGTGTGGGCATCTTTCCCAGCAATTATGTCACTACGACACAAAGCTTCTCTAGCAAACTACAATGCAAGAGAGTAGAAGAGCTACCTTGCTACCCAGCTTCTGCAATCCAGTGTAAGAATTTGTGATTTTATTTGGTTAAACTTTGAATAATGTGATACGTTTTCTTTTAATTGCGTTCAAAAGAGCATCAGTATGACTGTTTTTACACTACAATACTAATATTCTAAACTCTGTCCTTTTACACACGTATTGTGCCACTTTTTGTGTAATGAAAAATATATTTTATGTGGAGTACTTAACCTATTGCTGAATGTCTAATGTGTATATATAATGGAGTTTGACACAAAAGTATTCTAAATTAATTTTCTTTTATTTTTTTAAAATAATTACTGCATCATGTCACTTAGATAACCAATAATTTTAGGTTACTAATGGTTCACAGTATGTGCATATTTCTGTTTCAGCTTGTTAAAGAATATTATCTTATGGTTTTACTTACAATATTCTACTTTTAGTGATTTTAGGATCCTAAAATTCAGGGAGTACCAGGTGTCATTTGACTATAACTCAAAGGGGTACTGTCACCATCTAGGAACTTTGCCAAATTCACAAAGTCCCCCAACGATGTAATGGCTGCAAGTGTTCCTGTGGTCATGGGGGCAGGTAAAGGTGAGATTACTTACCTGAACATGTCACTCACGGGCACAGCCATCTTTCTCGCACTGCTCCACTGCAGATTTGACGTCCATGGGTGACCGTGCATTTATTTTAAATCATGGTTTAGTAGGTATGCATTTTTTTTATTTTATTTTACATATCAAAACAGCTTGCAATAACTGCATATCTCTTCTGCTGCCTTTGCAAGCCCTCCCCTTCTTGTCACGTCCAGACTTTCTGTGACTGTCCAATCACAGACTTGCTAATGCAGCTCAATAAGAAGTGCAAAGCAGGTACTCTGGACAATTGGCTGCCTCGAGTTTCAACTCCACTGAGCAAGACAAACCAGAATGTAACAGGATGATGGGGTGTGATTTGGTTAATTTTATAAAGGTGTCTTTTTTTTGTAGTCTGGAGTGTTCCTTTAAGGGCACTCTGCCTGTAGTAAAGTGAGTACCTGAAAAAAGTGAGTTTGTCAGGATCTTTCATTTTCTCTGGCTTTCATGAGAGTTGATTCAAGAGCTTGGCCCAGGGACAGACTCTCAACGTGTGGTCAGTCTAAGCACCATAACTATTACAGTACCCTGTACTAGTTATGGATCTTAGACTGACCCTTTAAGCTGGCACTGTTCTTTGCAGTGTACTTGCAGGGTCTCGTACACTAGTTATATTTGTAGTTGTGTTGGAGAATTGTGCTAGTGAATGTTAGACAAAATTTAAAGTCTGATTCAAAATCCTTTTAATCTACACCCAAACAAATTAATTAGAACAAGATTAGCCTGTTGAGTTTTATTCATTGAAAAAGTTCTGCAGGTGAATCCCAGACAAATGGATTAGTTTGCATATGAATATTTTGATTTGGGTGCACTGGTTAAACAAATATTTGCACAGGCCTAGAGAATATAAATAGTGGTAAGGCAGACTTGCACCATCTACCTCTGAGAGAACATAATTTATAGGGAGCCTGTTCTATTAAGTGACCTCCATATTTTTGATGTGATATCAGCATTTTATTGTAGGCATAAATGTGAGCCATTTTTGCTCCCTCTGGTTAGCTCAACCCCCATTATCGATGATATCAACCAATCAAATGATTTTCCATAGAGAATTATGTGGGAGGCTAATGCTCCTAAACGGAAATTGCCTCTCTGCATCATTCAACATCTTCTCACAATGAAGCATTGTTCCAGTGCATTTCTAAGGGAAGCATAAAAGCGTCTTCATACAGACTGTGAAGACACATCGGTTCTGCAAAGATTGTAGGTTTATAATGGGAAGCACCACTAGTGACTGTCTGAGTGACAGGCACAAGAAGTGTCCTTAGGGACAAATCTAAATACTGCCTTTTCAAAGAAAAGGCAGAATTTACACTTAAGAATGTAGGAGCATTCCCCTTGCACCAAAACCAACATTTTAAAGGAACAATCTGGGCACCATAACAACTTTATCAAAACTTATGTTGCCCAGACTGGTCCTTTAATGGACCACTATAGTGCCAGGAAAACATACTCTTTTTCCTGGCACTATAGTGCTCTGAGGGTGCCCCCACCCTCAAGGTCCACCTCCTGCCGGGCTGGATGGAGAGGAAGAAGTTAAACTTACCTCTTTCTCCAGCGCCGGGCGGGGAGCTCTCCTCCTCTTCTTCCCCTCTTCGGCTGAATGCACATGCGCGGCATTCACAATGTTTTCCTATGGGCGCTGGCGTCTTCTCACTGTGATTTTCAAAGTGAGAAACGCGGAAGCCCTCTAGCGGCTGTCAATGAGACAGCCACTAGAGGCTGGATTAACCCTAACATAAACATAGCAGTTTCTCTGAAACTGCTATGTTTATAGGAAAAAGGTTAAACCTAGCTGGACCAGGCACCCAGACCACCTCATTAAGTTGAAGTGGTCTGGGTGCCTATAGTGGTCCTTTAAGCTGTAGTGGTTCTGGTTTTTAGAGTATTCATTTCAAATAAGCAATCTTATGTGTTCATAAAGGGGACTCTCTAAACACCATGATCTATGCTCATTGCATATGTTCTGGTCCAAGAAGGTCCCCTGCACTCGTTTGCAAAAATCTCCACAGATTGTGGAGTGTGTCCCTTATGACATGGATGTTAAAGGAAATTTTATTCGTTTGGCACTAAAAAGCTGTCACGGCTGTGCATATAAAATGTACGGACTAGGCAAGTTCCTCATAGTCTCCTCTCCACTCCAAACTGAAGTTGTGTGCATGCATGTTTTGGCAGTCTAGATAAAAAAAATGCTTTTTTTTTTTTTTTTTTGAATTCTTTATTTTTGCAACGGTATGGAGTAGACAATGCATAAGGTTTGGCTCGTGCAAGAGCGTTTCAAAAGTACATACATATGTCAGGTGCACATGAGGATTTTTAACATCTCTACTTTCATCCGTTGTGGTTGTTGGTATTATTGTTTCAACAAGAACAGTGAGTATAGAAGAACAACATAACTGAACTGTGGGCCGGGATACCGGTCATCTCGGTCCAAACGGTCGTGGGCAGGGTGGGGGGAGAGAAGTTGAGGTAGATTGGGGGGGGGGAGAGTAAGGTATGGGAGGGGAGGTTACTGCAGTCCATCGTTAGCGTTTGGAACTCCTTTCTGCTACATGGTCTTAATTGGTCTTACTGGTCATTATAGGTCTCCCACGGTTCCCACGTCTTAGTAAAAGCTTTGGTTGTGCCCCTAATTTGGGCCGTGAGTTTGTCCATTAAGTGGCATTCTTTGATTTTGTTAATCACCATTGCTACTGAGGGTGTGTCCTGCTGTAGCCAGGTCTGGGCTAACGCTCTCCTGGTCGCTAAGGTTATTTTGTTAAACAGATGCTGGTTTGGGTTAGACCAATTCTCCTGAGGTCTGGCCAGTAGGACCGTCCAAGGGTTCAGTGTTATTGGCCTATCAAATATTTGGGTCATGAGGGTTCGAATGGCCGTCCAGTAGGTTTTAATCTTAGGGCAGTGCCACCACATATGGGTGTATGTCCCTCTCTCCCCACAATTGCGCCAGCAGAGGTCTGTGGGTGTTTTGTTCATGTGATATAACTGAACAGGGGTGGTATACCACCTGAACATCGTTTTGTAGGCCTGCTCTTGCATCGTGACGCAAATAGAGGTTTTAGCAGTGGCCTGCCATATGTCCTGCCAGTCTATCCCCTCTAATGTTTCCCCAAGGTCGGTTTCCCACTTGTCTGTGTAGTGGAGGGTGCCCCAGTCCTGTGTAGTGGAGCAGAGATGGGAGTATAAGAGGGAGATCAATCCCTTTTGGTAGCGTTCGGCCAGGCATATGTTTTCAAAGAATGTTGGTTTAGCTAGTGCCGCTCTTTTAACAGATTCCTGGGTGGCATAGTGTCTTAGCTGGAGGTATCTAAAGAAATCTGCGGGGGTTAGGGTTGTTCTGGTTTGTAATTCAGCGAAGGTGATTATGTCGTGGCCTATGTAGAGTTGATGAATTCTTTGTAGGTCTGCATTTTCTAGGCCTTTGAAATCTCTGGGTCTCATGCCTGGAATAAATGCCCTATTTCTGTATATGGGGGTGAGGGGGGAGGACGATGTTGTTAGTTCGTATTTTGTGGCGTATTTGTCCCAGATGTGAATCGAATTTGTAATAGCTGGGCAGGTAGTCCTCAAAAGTGCCCTGTGCTCTTTCGGGGTCCATATGTAAAACTGAGGGAGGTCCGATTTCATAATCAGGGATTCCAGGTCCACCCATCTCCTGGTGTCCGGAGGGGTGTGCCACATCGCTATTTGTGTCAAGTGGGCTGCAATGTAGTAGAAATGCATGTGTGGTAGGCCTAGTCCCCCTCTGGGCTTGGGGCGATATAGAATATTACGGGCCACTCTGTGTCTTTTGTTGTGCCAGATAAAGCGGTCAATGGCCTGCTGTAGAGGCTTTAAGTCTTGTTTCGTTATGGGGATGGGTAGGGCCTGGAATAGGAAGAGAATACGCGGTAGGATGTTCATCTTTATTGAATGTATCCTGCCAATCCAGGATATGGGTTTATCCGCCCAGGTCTCCATGTCCGTTATGAGTGTAGTGATTAGCGGGGAGTAGTTAAGTTGGTGTAGTTTCGTGAGGTCTGCCGGCAGTTTTATGCTGAGGTAGGAGAGGTAGGTCGGTGCCATACGTATGTGATAGTCTGCCGTGATTTGGGTGGCCTCATTCTGCGTGAGTAGTATTGGGAGTGCGCTGGATTTCTCCATGTTAACTTTGTAGCCTGATATTGTACTGTAGTTTTGCAAGAGGGGCATCAGCGCACGCATGGAGCGGATGGGGTTAGTTAATGTGATGAGTACGTCATCCGCGTATGCGGAGACCAGGAACTCTTGGCCTGTTATCTTTGCTCCCGCAATTTCGGGGTGTTCTCTGATCGCCTGTAAAAGGGGTTCGAGTGTTAGTGCAAAAAGTAACGGGGATAGGGGGCAGCCCTGTCTAGTTCCGTTATGGATGTTAAATCGTGGGCTGTTTGCTCCGGTCATCTGTATTTGGGCTGTCACGTCTGTGTATAGCGCCCGTACTGCCGTGATGAAGGTGGGGGGTATGTTTAGATGGTTTAGTAGTGTGAACATGTATGGCCAGTTCACCCTGTCGAACGCTTTTTCAGCGTCTAGGGATAGGGCAATCGCTGGTGTGTTGGTTGTAGTAAGTGTCCATATCACGTCTATGTTCCGTCTGGTATTTTCAAATAACTGCCTGCCGGGTATAAACCCGACTTGGTCTGCGTGAATGAGCCGCGTGAGATGCGGGTTCAGTCTCGTCGCTAGTATTTTGGCAAAGATTTTACTATCATGGTTTATTAGTGATATGGGTCTATATGCTTCTGGTAGGGAGTGGTCCTTGTCTGGTTTGGGTAAGAGTATGATATGTGCTTGTGTCATGTCCTTGGTAGGAGGGGTTCCCTCGAGTAGTTCGCGGAATAAAGTCTCCATGTGTGGGAGCAGTATCTCGCGAAAGGTTTTGTAGTAGCTCCCCTCGTAGCCGTCAGGGCCCGGGGCTTTGTTGCTCTTCAAGGAGGATATAGCCATATTGATTTCGTCAGTTGTGATTGGGGCAGATAATTCTTCTATGGCTGCAGTGTGGAGTTTGGGTAGGTTGAGGTGTGCTAAGAATTCCGACGTCCTCTGGCAATTTGTCTGAGTGCGTGCCTGACCCTGGGGGGTGTGGTTGTATAGGGCTTCGTAATAGGAGGTAAAAATCTGCGCTATCTCTGTCGGTGTGGTTTTCATGGTGCCGTCGGGGGCTCGTATGGATGTAATGTGTGGGCGTTGCGTTCTAGGGCGGAGTGGAAAAAAATGCTTTTAATAGGGCAGTTTTTCATGACCCAGAAGGAGAGCTGGGAACTAGTAGCAGACGACCTCCTTGGTGGCTTCAGGTTTGGAACAGATGCCTTGGAGGTGTGTGATGGCACTGGGGCTGTTTTCATTAACTGGAATTTAGGACAGAGTCCATTGTGTCAAATCCAGAAGAGCAAGGCAGAGGGTGTAGTCAAGAAGCTGGACAGGTCAGTACAGGGAACAAAGGGGCAGGAACTCAGAAGAGGGTCTGAGTAGTACAGCTCTGGGTCTGAGGTGTTAGAGTAGCTGACCACTGCTGTGAGCATGCTATTGGGAATTATAGGTGCAGCCTGGTCCTGAAAACAGCCCTTTTTTATGTGGGTTGTGCATTACATGAGTCCTTAAAGGGTGCTGATTACGCTGGTGCCTTATTGGTACAATTAACACCAGCAGCGATGCCCGGGGCATCGGTATTGCATCGCTCTGTGTCTTTGCGACTAATTGACACTGACATTATGCCTGCTGTCATGGTGGACATGAACACGTCACCCGTGCCGCGTGAAAGATACCAAGACACCCATGTACCCTGAGAACGCGGTAGATGACATTACCTCAGGCCACCATGATACTGTACACAGTACTTCGAATAAACTGAGAAAAGCTATAATACGGTTGTTCTAATCACTGGATTTACTTAGTGATTTGTTCGAAAATTAAAATTTTACTTTGTGTTTTGATACTCCTATTATAGCGGGTGCTATCCAGTGTAGTCAGCTTTAGCTTAATGTAGTGGTTCTGGTGTCTATAGCCTGTCCCTGCAATGTAAATACTGCATCAGAGAAAAGGCACTGTTTACATTGCTGCCTAGGAACACCCCTGGTTGCAGTCATTCAGACGGCCACTGTAGTTGCTTCTTAGTCCAGTGTTTCCCGCTCTGAATGGAGACACTGAACACTCCCCAGAGAGATGCATTGATTCAATTCATATCTATGAGGAGATGCTGATTGGCACAGTGGTTTTTTTTTTGTTTGTTTTTTTCCTGCCTCACTGAGTTTCATCTCAGTCGTGGAGGTGGAGCGAGCTGTGGCAAGACAGGTTTGGCGGTGGAGAAAAGATGAGTAAAATCATCTTTTCAAAGGGAAGCAAGGGCTGGGGACCTAAACAGCCATATCAGGTTTATAGTGTCAGGAATATATGTTTGTATTCCTGACACTATAGTGTTCCTTTAACTTTAAACATTTTGTGATTTCCACGATTCTTGAAGAATTTTAGTATCTATAATGTCATACCTTCCAATTGTCCCTATTTAGAAAAAGGACAGTTGCTATATTGGGCCCAAATCCAAGTGTCCCTCCTTTCTTTTCTAGGAAATTAAGAAATTTAATTAGAATTGTCTTACCTTGGCTACATTCTTACTCACACCCCTTGAATGAAAGTGTCCCTCTTTGTCCTTTTGAAATGTTGGAAAATATGTAATGTAGCATTAAAAATAAATATATACAGAAAAATAAGGTGTCTAGATGGTGCAATGCATTTTCACATGGTTTGAACAATAAGTGGACTTCCAGGAAATACTGTGTGATATAATCCATGCTTCATTGTGCCTGTAGAGGACTAGATCACATTTGCATTTGAAAATCTGGATTATTTTTCTTTTGTGCCTTTAAAAAAAATTAAATAAAATGTTTATATACTTTGAAGGAGTTTTACACACATCCATAACTTTCATGGGTCTTTGCATATTTTGCAAGCACCTCAAAGTGACAGATCCTGTGTGGGTCTGATGGCCATGGGGTGCAGGGGAAGGTAAAAATTACTCATCTCAAGTTGTCACTTGCAGTCACCACCATCTTCATCTCACAGCTCCTGGCACTTCAGTTGCTTGGAGCCGCAACAGTGCTGTATTCTTGCTCATAGGTCAATGCCCGAGTCCCACAGCTGTCGCTTGTGATGGCTGCAGTTACTTGTCAACAGTTGATGGTGGAGCTCCACCTTTTGTCAACCACAGGTTTGTCCATAAGATAAGGAAACATTGGGAGGCTATCAAACATGTGCGGCACAAACGCCACACTGTGCCAGTCAGCATCTCCTCATAGAGAAGCATTGTATCGGTATAAGTGCCTCCTGGCACCACAACAAGTTCATTTAGATTAAGTTATTTTGGTGCCTTGAGTGTCCTTTTAAGGGCAGTTTATAAAGGGTGGCTTTGAAATCAGCACCTTTTTGTAATTTACAGTGGAGTGCCTGTAATATAAAAATATATAATGTATATTAATTTCCTCCTCCCCCACTATTTACCCATTGCCAGGTAAAGGTCATATTGTGGCTTCAAAGGAACATTCCAAACTCAGTAACCACTACAACAACCTGCAGTGATTATGGTCTCAGGAGTGCAGTGATTCCCCACCCCCTATTGTAAGTAGTCATGAGGTCTGCCTGTGAAAAGCTTGGCAGTAGGGGGTGCCAAGACACCATAACCACAGCATACTGTAGTGGTCATGGTGCACGGAGTGTTTCTTTAATACAACTTACTTTAAATTGACTGATTACTGGTAGCACAATTTTCTTATCTAAAGATAGGATGGAAACAGTGATATTTCTTTTGTTATGACTACACAATGCAATCCATGTATTTATTTGTAAGAGCGGCAAATACATTTCGCGATGTCTTAATGCTTTATTCATCAGCCGACATTCTCAACCAATGAGCTAGCTCCGCACTGCAGGGCTTGGCTCAAGAGAGTGAACATAAGCTTCTGCTGACTCTCCAACTGAAGTAGTGGAGATTGTAAGCAATGCCTGGCGGACCCCCAATAAGAAGTTAAACCTTTCTAAAATGATTTAATTGCTTACAATGGAAGGTGCCCGGAAATCCTGGCACGATAAACACTACATAGCGCTATAGTGGTTATGATGTTTGGAGTGTTCCATTAAATGGTAGATTCTCACAGATCATGTGTGTTCTGAAAATCTTTGTTTTTCTACTTTCTCTTTCAGTATTAGAAATCGATTTTACAGAGCTGGTCTTGGAGGAAATCATTGGAATTGGAGGCTTTGGGAAGGTCTATCGTGCTATTTGGGGAGAAGAGGAGGTGGCTGTCAAAGCAGCCCGTCATGACCCTGATGAAGATATCAGCCAAACCATTGAGAATGTCAGACAGGAGGCTAAACTGTTTGCAATGCTGGATCATGCCAACATTATTGCACTACGGGGGGTGTGCTTGAAGGAACCTAATCTTTGTTTAGTAATGGAATTTGCCCGAGGGGGATCATTAAATAGGGTGCTAGCTGGCAAGAAGATTCCACCGGATGTCCTTGTGAATTGGGCTGTGCAGATAGCCAGAGGAATGAATTACTTGCATGATGAAGCTATTGTGCCAGTCATACATCGTGATCTGAAATCCAGCAATAGTAAGTACAGCTGTATTGAAACAAGTGTGTGTAAATTTAGAATTAAAAAAATGGGTGTTACTGCAGTAGAAAGAACACTTTGTATAATTCACAAATCTTTATGTACAAGCATTCCTATCTTAAGAGAACTTTTATACATAGCTGTTAGTTTTTGCATGGTGGTTAAAACAATAGTCCTTTTCTATAAATATTCTTGTCCCTCTGTCTTAAAGCAGCCTCTTGCTTTGCCACGGATCAGTGCACATCATTTACACAAAAAGAGTCTCTCATTAAGCAGGATGTGTTTCAATGTATTTAATCTGTAATTAGGAACACAGGACTTGTTACACACAAATAATTTTTTTTCCTCTGTGCAATCCCCACTCAGTCCTTAAACTAGTTTTAGCTCACTTTGTGTCAATACAGAGAGAAAATAACAACTTGCATATCGTAATGATCTCATGCTAATGGCCTATACAGATCCCAAATGCTGGCTTGCTTTCTCTGCACTTGACATGCAGCAACCCCACATGACTGTTTCAGCCTTGGTGGGTCTTGTCAGTGAGGTGTGATGGGTACTGTACAAATAGATTAACTAACCTGAACGCTACCATCTTCTTCTTTCACCTAACTCGTCAGCTCCTGGTGTCTTTACCTTCCAGGAGCTGCCATCAGTATTGCATTCTCGCACATGCTTGATAGTAGAATCTTGGGAAATCTATGAAAAATCTGCATTCCAGGGTTGTACATGGTCTGCAACAATTTTTAGGTATGTGGTACATGGAAAAGTAACATCCACATGAATGCCATGACCCAAGGTTTCCAGCAGAACATTGCCCAGAGCATAACATTCCTTGCTTCTGCCTATCTTCTTCCCACGGTGCTTCCTACTGCCATCTTTTCCCCAAGTAAACGACGCGTGCGCACCCGGCCATCCACCCATTCTAAAAGAAAATGTGATTAATCAGACCAGACATCCTCTCCAATTGCTCCATGGTGCAGTTCTGACACTTATGTCCCCATTGAAGGCACTTTCAGCAGCGGTTAGGGGTCATCATGGGCACTCTGACCAGTCTGCGGCTACGCAGCCCAGTAAGCAGTAAACTGTGATGCACTGTTTCTTCTGACACCTTTCTATCATATCTAGAAGTTTTTCAGTAATTTGTGCTACAGTAACTCTTCTGTGTGATTGGAGCAGATGGGTTACCATTCGTTCCCCATGTGCATCAATCAGCCTTGTGCTCCCTTGATCCTGACGCCACTTGCGCCACTTTGTAATGGTATAATTGATAATAAAATAGTATAAGTGGTGAGAGCACACACAAATAGTAAATTAATTTACCCTTGTATTCCATAGAATCCTGTGAACATAAAATCAGAAAAAACATAGGGTAATAACGTCCAGATAAATTTAAAATAGTGAATAAATGGACAAACTCACATATTGCTGAGCCATTTAGAAGCTGGTTGAGACTAAGAGCGTTGAATGGATAAGAAGTAGCTGGAATCAAGTGCCGACTGTTTACTTGTCCCTTCTTTTAAAATGCCCAGGATGCAGGTTCTTTTTAAAAAGGTTTTAGTACAAGGTAAAAACCGCAGCAAAAAAATAGAAAACATCAATCTCCCTCTCCACACACTGACGCGTTTCAGTCGAAGTTTTTTTTCCTTTACAGGATTCTAATTGCATACAAGGGTAAATAAATTTTACTATTTGTGTGTGCTCTCACCACTTATACTATTTTCACTTATTTTATGTGTGGTGGAGTGACCCACATAGGTGATTGTAACACTCATATGTTTTTGTTTTTTTTTGTTTGTTTTTTAACCTAATATACGCACTTTTTTTTTTTTTTTTTTTTTTTTATGGTATAATTGATGTTAGTCACTTAACCTGTCAGTGGTTTTAATGTTTTGGCTGATTAGTGTATGATGTTGTTGTAAAAGTAATGGCAAAAAGAGATTATGGTGGTCAGAAATAAGTCAGTTTTTTTTTTTTAACCCTTCAATGGAAACATTGTGGTATCTTTAGGGGAAAAAAAAAAAACTGCAATGTTTTTTACATTGCACATTTAAAGCTACAGGGCCCACCTGACCTTTTCATTGAAATTAAGTGGTCAGGGTGCCTTTAATGGTCCTTTCAATTCCTCTTGCTTTTATAAGGGAAGCTGTAGCACGGCCTGATGGAGGCATATAAAATGCAACTTTGAATAAAGTTTCATTGAATGAATTGGTCTGTATTCACTATGTATTATCTGCAAATGTGCGCTAAACTGTGAAATTTCTCATTTGGAACCTTGGCTGCAAAGCAGAACGTTAGACAATCTTGTTTTAACGTTTAGTTTGTATATTACAGATGAAAAAATTTAAAAATATGTAATAATCTTATTGCTGTGATTATGGTGCTTGGCTACAGCTATATTTAGCTACACAATTATGATCATGGGATACTATATCAGTTGTTTTACCTTATCGGCCACCGGTGTCATAATAGAAGTTGTATCTGAAAAGCCTGCAGGGTAGTAATGTTCCTGTTTCTTTTCTGTCGAACCTTCTTCCTTTTCATCTTCTAGCCAAGCTGAGATGTGAAATGTGTAAACTTAATGTCGTGTGCAGCTCTGCCAAGTGTTCATAAAACACCTTGTAGATGACTTTGTCAAATTGAATTGAACATTCAAGCTGGCAAGTTGGCTGCATCTGTAATGGGCTGACTAGTCTCTACTTTCTCAGTCACTTTATTGGATTAAATTTCTGATAGGTGTTGTGAAGTACATGGTGGACATTGAGTGATGATCTAATGAGTCTGTAGAGGATACGTTTTGTTCTAACAGAGGTATATAACAGTCTGTGTCATCTTAAAACTATACAACAGCCTGTATCCTGGAGAAGTAAATTGTGTAGTGTATGGATACTACACCCAAATCGTCAAGGTGTTAGAAGGTGCTACTGTGGGTAATGGCAGGAATTTAAAGGACCACTATAGGCACTCAGACCACTTCAGCTTCATGAAGTGGTCTGGGTGCCAGGTCCATGTAGAGTTAACCCTGCCTGCTGTAAACATAGCCGCTTCAGAGAAACGGCTATGTTTACATATGGGTTAATCCAGCCTCTAGTGGCTGTCTCATTGACAGGCGCTTCTGTGCTTCTCACTGTGATTTTCACAGTGAGAAGACGCCAGCGTCCATAGGAAAGCATTGAGGATGCTTTCCTATGGACGGATTGACTGCGCGCGCGCGGCTCTTGCCGCACATGCGCATTTAGCCAGTGATGTCAGAAGAGGGAGGAGAATCCCCAATGCCGAGGGAGCCCGGCGCTGGAGAAAGGTAAGCCTTTAACCCCTTCCTCCCCCTAAAAACCGGCGGGAGGGGGATCCTGAGAGTGGGGGGGACCCAAAGACCCTATAGAACCAGGAAAACAAGTTTGTTTTCCTGGCACTATAGTGATCCTTTAAGGGTCCCCATCCTGCACAGACATCTACAAGGGAAACTTAGTCTTGCATTAGGAGTTAATCTAAGTTTTTTTTTTTTTTTTTTTTAACTGCCGACATAAACAAATACATTATAATAAACTATATATTTGATTGCTTTGGACGATGTTATATATTTTTACTTACCTGTTGCTCCTTGCTTTAGGACCACAATTTGGGGAGTCTATAGGTGCTACACTACTGTAACACCCTTCCTCATGGCCTCCCTGTACCCTCTGTCTCTGTAGTAATTGTCCCTGCTTGGACACTTTCCCAAGAAGGGCAATCTTCCCTGATGTCATGAAGCTTTTATCTCAATTCCTTTCTTTTCTACAGTATTTTTATTTATTTATTTTTTGGTAAATCTTGTTTTTATTGTTTTAAGGCATGGTAAAGACAGAATGAAATAGTGGAGGGCATGCAGACCCTTGTACAGTATTTTTACTTTGTATTGCTATCCACCTCTTTTCTACAGTATTTTTACTGGGTCGGGTTATCCACCTCTTTTGTTACAAGCAGGTAGTGAATCGGAAGCCTTTGGCTAATTCCTGGCCTAATCTAATGTAATCCCCTGTATTGTGTATATGTGCTCGTTATCAGTAACTCTCAAATGAAAAGCATCATGCTGACTGCACAGGTGATTCCTTAATGCATTTGTCGTTGATTTTTAATCAATCTTGGATAGAAGTCAAATGGGTGTTTAATGCAGGAATATCAGTCCCTGAAAATGCAAAAGGTAAAATAGTGGGGTGATAACCTTGATTTACAAAAAAATGGACTCTGACTTGAGGATTCGTGAGTCGCATTATTTCTGGCAAATTCAGTCATCGGTAAGAGTTCGAACCAATTGGATCGATAAAGCAACGCAAATAGGATTCTAAAGATTGATTGGCTCTTTCTGTGGCGCCATTAGTCTGAGGGTGGTACGAAGAGGAAAATGAAAGTTCTGCAGCATTTGAGATAAATTGGGTTCCTCTGTCAGAAACAATGTTTTTTGGTACTCCGTGTAAGCGAAAGATTTCCTTTATGAAAATTTGGACTAGATCTTTAGCAGATGGCAATTTTTTAAGAGGTATAAAATGTGCCATCTTGGAAAATCTATCTACAACCATGAGGATGGTGTTATGCCCATTAGAACTGGGAAGTTCCACAATGAGATCCATGGAGCATCGGGTATCGGAAGTGGTTGTAACAACCCAGGGGAAGATCGATGAGATGTTTTAGAAACCGCAATTTTTTTTTTTCCAATTTGAATTTTATTGAAATATTTTTCGTTAAACATCTTTGTCAGCGTATGAGTAAGGTAAGTAAACAGTTGTGTCATGCAATAATACATTTGACACTGTATGTCTTATAGATATATCATAGGAAGCACAGGAAACCTGTGGGGAGAAAATGGCTTAGAGCACAGTATGTCCCAGAGGACTCTAGGTCATATGGTCAGAGTTCGTGTAGGCGCCAGGAGGGCATTGTCGAAGGGTCACAATCTCTTGCGGGTTCACGGTTCGTTAGTTATCCAGCGGATCTTTTTTACGATCCGTCCCTTGTCAAATTTCAGGTGGCCCTTGGGCTCTTGTGTGCTGTTGGCTGTAACTCAGTGGGTTCTGTTGCTTCCTGGTGCTCAGCCAGCAGCCCAAGGGTTTGGAGTAGTGTCTGTGGGTCTTCGGTCGAGGAGAGGCTTAGAGTGTCCTTCCCCAGGGGTACTACCAATGAGCCCCCTGTGTCCCAGCGGTATTTGATAGCGTTGTCTCGTAGCCGTTTGGCTACCTGTGCCAGTTTTCTCTTTTCCACAAGAACTTGGAAGGGTAGATCACTGTAGATCTCAACTGAGTGTGTCTCTCAAACCGCACTGTGCCCATCTCTCTGGAGCGTTTCATTATCACACTGCGCGTGGTTATGTCTCTGGTCACTGCGATGACATCCCTGGGTGCTGTTTCTGGGGCTGTCGCGGAAGGTTGCTTTTATGTGGGGGGGTTTCTGGGTTGTCTGTAATGCCCATGGAGACTAGCAGCCTCTTCACAGTTGGGAGCAGGGCCTCGTCCCCTACCTCCTCTGGCACACCTCTCAAACGGATATTTCGCCGGCAGTGTCTGGATTCCAAGCTGAGCACCGTTTTCTGCAGCTGTTGGACCTGATTTGTGAGTCCTTCCAGACGTTTTTTGGTCTGGCTGTGTTGCAGGTCTCGAGAGGACTCCCTTTCCTCCACCTCCTGTACCCTCCTGCGGATGTCGCCAATTTCGGTCTGGGTCTGCTGTATGTCAGCTTTCCAGATACGCTGCATGGCCGTGAGTATTTTTTATTTTATTTATTTTTTAATATATATATATATATATATAATCTCTATCTCTATTTCCTTTTGTGGAGGGAGAAGAGTCATCTTCTGATTCTGAGGCTGACGTTGCTCTGCCAGAGTCCAGCGAGGCAGGGGATTCCCTCTCTGCCTCTGAGTTTTCCGAGATCTCTGGGCTGTATCGAAGCTCAGGCGCCATCTAGGGTTGAGACGACGGCGCGGGTCTCTCAAAGGATAGCCTGATATCGGGCCGCTTGGACGCCTCCGACTTCTGGTTTTTATTTTTTCTTCCCATGACTTTCTCTGTGTGTGGGTTTGTGAGTAGATGCCTTTAGGTTTATTTTTTCGGCTCGTTTTTGCCTATTGTGGTGAGGCCTTTGTGGAGCCCCACCGAGATGCGTCCTGTTGGTTTCTTGGTCGGCCACGCCCCCGAAACCGCACATATTTGACATGCCCCTACATAGTCTTTAACGTCACCTCTGAGTGTAGGCCACCAAAATTTTCTGTAAATAGCAGAGAGAGTTTTATGTATTCCAGGATGTCCTGCTGTCAGATTATCATGAAACACTCCAAATACTTTATTTCTTAATAAGGGTGAAACATACAGTTTGTCCTGAGGTTTCCCCACGGGTGCCTGAGTTTGATCTGCTATTATGGCACCAAAGAGTGGAGAAGATATTTCAGTAACTGTAGTAGCAAAAAGACATTCTGGAGGTACGATCGGGGATACCTCTTGTTCAGGGGCTTCATCTGTCTCAAACTGTCTAGAGAGTGCATCTGCCTTGGTATTCTTTGTCCCGGGCCTATATGTAATTATAACATTAAACCGGGAGAGGAATAATGACCATCTAGCCTGTCGGGGGGACAATCTCTTAGCATCCCCAATATAAGCCAAATTCTTATGATCGGTATGAACCTTCCAAGAGATGCCTCCATTACTTAAGGGCGAGAACAATGGCCAGTAATTCCCTATTCCCGATGTCATAATTTCTCTCTGCTGGAGTTCATTTTCGAGAGAAAAAGCCACAGGGATGTAACGGCGCATCAAGACTCTCTCTTTGAGACAGAATGGCCCCTACTCCTGTCTCTGACGCATCTACTTCTAAAATAAAAGGTTTGGTCGGATCAGGGTGCGTCAGGACAGGTGCTGAAGCAAATAAAGATTTAAATTTTTCAAATGCCTCCTTTGCTTCTTTGGACCATAAATTACAATTTGCTCCTCTCTTGGTTAGGTTGTTAATAGGAGCGATTACTGATGAGAAATTCTTAATGAACTTACGGTAATAATTTGCAAAACTGATAAAGCGTTGTGTAGCTTTAAGGCCTTTGGGTAACGACCATTGCAAGACTGCTTCCAGTTTGTGTGGGTCCATTTTGAAACCAGAAGGGGATATAACATAGCCAAGAGACTGTATCTCAGTCTGGTCAAACTGGCATTTTTCCGGCTTACAGTATAAGCCATTTTTTAACAGGGTTCTTAGTATGATTCTCACATGTTCGTGATGAGTTTCTTGGTCTGGGGAATAGATGAGAATTTCGTCTAGATACACTAGTACAAATATGTAAAGATATTCTCTAAGGACATAGTTAATAAAATCCTGAAATACCGCTGGGGCGTTGCATAGGCCAAGTGGGATGACCAGGTATTCATAATGTCCCATTCTCGTATTAAATGCGATCATCCACTCATGCCCTTCCTTAATTCTGACTAGGTTGTATGCGCTCCTCAGATCGAGTTTTGTGAATACTTGGGCACCCCTCAACTTATCAAATATCTCAGAAATAAGGGGAATGGGATAGGCGTTTTTAATGATTATTTTATTTAGACCCCTATAATCAATACAAGGGCGTAGGTCTCCTTCTTTTTTAGAAACGAAGA